TCTGTAATCACTATACAAAATCTGTCTCTCTCTGAAATGTTCTGGGCATGAAACAGAACTCCAAACCTTAGCCTGAGTCCTGCTGTATAGCAAGAATGGCTACAGCCTCAGGTTGATGTGAGTGTGTGATTCAGTGATGAAAGTAGTAAATTTACACTTTACTCTGGTGCTCTGCTGTGTTTCAGAGATGACTGTGGAAGGTGGTCCTGGCTCATCTCCATGAGGAACCTGTGTGCCAGCTGTTGATCACCTATTTCCCTGTCAGCAGAGCAGAGGGAATGGAGGGTGAATTGGGCAGTAGCACTCAGAGGGGATTTGAGCTCCACCAATTGAGCCAGCACAGTGTAGGCAGGGTCAAAACAACTCAGAGATTACTGTGGGGTGTAAAGTTCAGTGAATGGCTTCATACCTGCACTGTGACTGTAAAAGACATATACATCACATAAATTGTGGAGGCTGCCCCTATCAACCATACAACCCTATATCCCTTTCTAGAAATGTACACATTTATGAAGCTTCTTTCAAGGGAAGAAGCCTTGTCTGATTTCTAAACTCAAGTGAGTAATTGAGAATATCTAATGATATTACTGTGTGTCTTATAACTCATGTTTTTAAAACACCCCTTGAGAGGAGAACCCTTTCTGTTCTTTCATCAGGCTGACTTTGATGGTGCTGCAGAAGATGTAAAAAAATTAAAAACAAGACCAACTGATGAAGAACTGAAGGAACTATATGGATTCTACAAACAGGCTACTGTTGGAGATATTAATATTGGTATTACTATATATACTTCACATTTAATCACGTCTTGATAAAATCAGTCTAATGTGATATAAATCTGCATGATAACCAAAGCTATGCATTTATTTTGACAGAATGTCCAGGAATGCTAGATTTGAAAGGCAAAGCCAAATGGGAGGCATGGAACCTGAAAAAAGGTGTTACACCAATTAAATTTATATCCTGTAGTCAAGTTTATAGGATGACAAATGAGAAAGATAATGACTCCTACTTTCCTTTGCAGGTTTATCAAAGGAGGATGCCATGAATGCCTATATCTCTAAAGCAAGAGCAATGGTAGAAAAATATGGGATCTAGAATATTCAAAATAATTCCCACTAATACTTAACCCTTTAGTAGCTAATGAACTAACTCTGTTGAGAAAAATGCAATACTAACTCCTCAGTGAGGTCTGACACTAATATCTTCTAAGCATAAGCTGTTTAACTGTAAAGGGTATTTACACATATAACCTATTTCTAGCTTGTATATGAATCTAAATAAATTTGAACTGAATAAATGAAGCTTTCTGTGAGAATTATGGATTTTGTGGGTATTAAATTATATTTAGCATTTTGACAGGAGCAGACAAACAGAAGCTCTAACAGTAAAATAACATAGACATAATTTTTTTGCAAACAGGGTTATGGAATAAAGTGAAGAGTTTGTACACATGTAAGAGAAGAAGGAAAAGATGAAACCTGTTTTAAGACCCAAAGCCTATGTTTGTTTTCAAAACATCAGGGAAACACCCCCTTATAAAGGATTACAGGGGAACAGAACAACTTTGAGGCATAGCTGCAATGTAGAGAAAGAAGTGATTTATTACAAATTGCTGTGGACTAACCTTACACATTCTGCTATTAAAATTGTGAGAAATACTCAAAGACCATTTTCTATGCTTCTTGTCATGTGTTTTATCAAGAAGCTTTCATTAGAGGGTTTTAGCAGATAAAGGTGATCTCCAGGAAGCTCATAAAAGGAAGTATCTCCACTCGTTAGTTCTTGCCAACCTAAAAAAGATATTTAACGTGTCAGAGAAATGTCAACTATTGTGATCAGTTTGTATAACTATTTCAAAGCTATAATTTAATAATTATTTTAAATCCCTTATCAACTTTTTGGTTCATATATTGAAACTACTCTGTTGATTTGTTTCCTTTAAGAAGGAAGTAGACTCTAGAAGACTCTAAATAATGGGTGTAATACAACAAGAAAATGTGTAAGTATAAGAGGAAAACCATTTAAGCAAAGTACCTTTTGCATCATATATTTTATCATCAGATCCACAAAAGTAGGTAATATCACAGGAGAAGGGGATATTCATTTCTGTCTTCTCAAATCTGTGAACATAAAAGTAGTCATAAAACATTCCATAAGATACATATATTTGGAATTTGCTTCCATATACAAAAAAGATTTTTTGTTCTTCTCCAAAATGTAACAAATTTCAGGAGTTAGATTATACAGAACATCAGGAGAAGAAAATACTCTGGAAGTGTCTTAGCTCCTTGCCCTACTGTAATTAGATATAAAATTGTAAGGAAAGAATGACCCAATATTTAGGGGGAAAAAAGAGCTTCAACCTGCAATAAAAATTTCACCTACAATAAATAATGATGTTACCTACTTATATACAAGTTCTAACATTTCAGCATCTTTCAGTGTCAGATTCCTATGACCAAAATGGGTCCCACATCCAGGAGTGTCCTTGTTTTTGCCAAGGTAAGAAGCCTAAACCACTCAGCTACATGAGCTGTCATGTCATGTCCAGCAGTGAGGACACAGGAAAACAGTGGCTGTCTGGGTGCCCAGAACACAGGATCCCGGTTTTTGGTTAGGCTAGAGGCTGAATGCAGTGTTCCTGAAGCACAATGAGCTGAGGTTGTTAGCCTCAGAGAACAATAAAAGACACGAGAATATTCCCTTTTAGTAGCTGCTAACTTCAGATGGTAGGTAGAACTGTAATTCTGCCATGACAGGTTCACTACTGCAGTAACAGTTGTGGTTGCTGCAGTAAGCAGTGTTTCATCTAGGGCATAAATACCAGAAAACAAAGAGAAAAGCACTCAAAGGAAAAGAACACTATGTTTACTGTTTATTATTCTTTCTATAACAGAAATGAGAACAAGTTACTAAGAAAGAAAAAAGAGAACTTAACATGATCAAACACAAATAAAAATGTAAAATACAAATACAAAAGTAATACAAAGTTGTAAAACTTACGAACACGTCTGAAAAAGTTTGGCATCTTCTTTGAAAGTAAGCGCCGTATCCCTCCAAAGGTCTTCATCATGTGGAAGCTCAAAATTTCCTCCTAGAATCTCCATAATTGCAAGAAGGTCATTGGGTCCATCAGGTAGGACTATGCTTTTGACAGCAAGATATGCTGCAGACTGTCAGTACCAAACAAAGCATATCAGATGTTGTATATAATATACTTTGAAAAACTTTTTCATTAAAATTATTTTAGTAAAAAGTACAATAATTTTCCATCTCCAGAATATGATGGCTGATTTGTTTAACATTCACAGAGAACACTTCATGGAAAGATTAGTAGACTGTGCTTACTGAAATTACAAACTATGAGTGAGCCAAGTCCTCTGTACTTCTGAAACTTATACAAATAAGTTTCAAATAAGACAAATAACTGTTAATATTATTTTGTTCAAGCTTGACTCTTACTATTGAAATACAACTAGTAAAATAATCTAAGAGAAAGAAAAACCTAGCACTGGACATAAACCTGGCTAATGTAGGACAAAGAGACCAACTGATTATGGAAATTTGTGGGAATAACAATTGCTCCCATGAATCACTAGCTCATACTCAGGACTGCTAAGCCTTAGAAACTGAAGAACAGAAATAGCAAATGCTGACTGAGGACAGGACTGGAAAAATGCCACTTCACTACTGTTTTTCTGAGAAAGACTATCAGAACCAGCAGAACCTCAGAAAAAACTGACTAAAATCCTACAAAGAATGAGGAAAGAGAAAAAAAATGGACAAATGTATTGAGGGCTGATGCAGCAGGTTTATGAAAGACTTGGTAAAGATAGTCACTTTACACATTACACAGAAAGGAGGACCACTTAGAATTTTGGTTTGATTATTTTTGAGTTTTAAGCCAATAGTCATACTAAATAACAGAATAGTCAAAAAATTTTTGTTTAAGGATTAGTTAGTTTAAGCATTAATTAGTTCCAGCATTAGTAAAGGAGATTGTTCTTCCAAGGCTAAGGTTAGGAGCAGTGAATATTATGTATTCTGCATCAACCTCAGAACACTTGTCACTTCATAGATTCTGAAGAAATGCTGATTTTTTTTTTTAATTAAAACTACTCTGCATACCATACTGTAAAATATTATTCTTACTCTTAGTAGCTAATTTATGGTTCTGTTTCATAATGTTAATGATTCTGTAGCTTACATTTGGGGAGTGTGCTGCTGACATGAAAAGATGGACTGGCTCCAGTCCATACTTTTTTTTCAGATGAAGTGCGACAGCAAAACTCATGTAAGTTCCAAAACTGCAGCAAAACAAGAAATTAAAGCAAAGTAAGTAAAAATGTACATAAAACCTCGAAAATATAATTTTAATTTCAGTGCTAACTGGCTATCTTGAACAATTGCTGAAATGGTATATGACGTGCAGATTATAATGATATTTGTTTATTGACATGAAGCATATTCCTACACAGTCTAATTTTGCAAATAAGGCCTTTTCATATTCTCTTTCTTTTAATAGTCTCCTTAATTTTCAATAAGTGCAGTTATTTTTAGTACTTGGGACTCAACAATCTTTAAAATCTGTGTTTCATGAATGATTCACCCCCTGCATTCATATATATCAAGCACTGCACAAATATTAACAATAAATGCAGTTATGATTGATTCGAAACACATGCTCAGATGTTGCACCTGAAAGTATAAATAAATAACCAGAGTCTTTGAGAGCAACTGCATGTTTTAGGATGACTTGACAGAACATCCTTGCAGAAGCATGTTTTTCCTAAAGGTTTTGCAAATAAAAACAAGTAACTCTCTTCTTCTAGAGCTCAGCAACAGAAGCTCTTTCACCAGGGTATCTAAAAATGCATATATTTTTACCTGTGACCAAAAAATGCAAATGGTTTTTCTTTCAATTCTTTTAACAAAACACTTGTAATTTCATTAACTACACTTGTCATGTCTTTTGCAAAAGGCTCTTCGAGACGAGTTTCTCTTCCAGGAAGCCTTATACAGAACACTGCAGAGGAGGTGAAGGAAGGGAAGGAAAAGAATTATAGGTATTTCAAATAGATACAGTAAAATAATTTTAATTAAGTTTTTTATTATTCTGCAAAATATACATACTATTTTAATTAATCCTTCTTAGAGTTGATCCTGTGCACTTGCTTGCTGTTGCTGCCACTGTGATTTAATCCTGCAAGAGATTAGGTTTCCACCCTTCCTTTACTCTCAAATGTTGCCCCTCCTACTGATCTGATTGCTAAGTGCCTTGGGTCAGAATCCACAAGATCCTGATTTCAGCTGAGATTTGAAAGCAACTTTATTGTTATAAGTTTCAATAACAACCAAAAATTCATTAATTTCAATAATAGTAAGTTTGAGGGTTGTGCAAAATATGTCCTTTCAAGGGCAGCATTAGTAAGTGAAACTATATTAGACTTGTACAATCCTTGTTTTCTTCTTTGTCAGCTCTTCAGCACTGCACATTGGAAAACGTGGAATCATAGTGCAAATTAGTGGATATTTGTATTTAGAGTTACATTTATAGTTATTTATATTTATAGAGAAGGAAATTTACATGCTTTTACTATTTTCCTTTCAAAACAGGATTTTCCTCTCACTGTTTAGTGAAAGTAAGGAATGAATAGAACAGAAAATATGTTGATTTTTTTCAAATCTCCTTGACATCATGCATACTGCTAGTTATGTAGAAGTAATGGGTCAGACACACAGAGACAGACTGTTCTAGAAGAGACAGACTAAACCTAATACCATAGATATGAGTACAGAAAAGTTTGCATCTTCTATACTTTCTGCAGAAACCATCCCTGAAAGAACATGCTGTGCCCTGACTTTATTATTTGTCTGCATCTGCAGTTGGTCCTAGGCCATTTCCTTAGTAACTTTCTTGGAAGTACTTCCAGTGGACAAAAACTTTTTCTTTCTTGTTTTCTGTTTTTTCCCCTAATTCCAAGGAAGATTCAACATACAACTGCTCACCAGAAAGTATATTTGCATTTAGAGGACTGGTAAAACTGCAATGGCGATGTTCATGAATATGAAATTGTTTTTTCTTTGTGGAAGGTTTGGAAAATGGCCTTGGTTCCTCTTCAAATAGGTCAAGCAATGGATTTTTTTAGTGCTGATATATCTTGTGAGCAATGAGAATTACTTCATAGTGTAACTAAACATCATTTCACTGTTATAAAATTCATAGATTAAATTTCAGTTTTGATACAAGAAGTACAAACACTGGATAAGAGATACTCTGTAGCCTCTCAAAATTAAAAACAGTTCTCATATCTTCACTCTTAACCTTGCTGAAGACTGGTTTATCAACAATATTCCGTGTAGTTCTGTTTCTGAATCATACCAGTAGTTTCTGAAGCAGTCAAGCATACTATACTCTTGTGAATTGTAGCTCTGAGGATGTAATTTCTTACCCAATCAAATATAATTTGATCCAAGGTGGTACAGAAAATGTGCCCTAGTGGAAATGCTAGTTCCTAATAAATGCTAGTTCCTTCCTTTCTGGAGAAGACACATTGGATAAAGATTGTAGTGCTTTCAAGACTATTATATTCCATTTAAAAATTTTGGCGATTGTGTATTTCAGAATTGCTTTACTGCAACTACAAAATTACCAACCTTCAACTGAGTCGTTGAACAGTCTCCCCCACTGAGCAAGTTGAGAAGTTCCACTTCCAGCCCATGGAAAGCAAATCAGTCTACAAACAGCATCTGGCTTTTTTTGTACACAAGCAACCAGCTTTTCCATTTCTTAAAAAAACAAAACAAAACAAAAACAACAACAACAACAAAACCCTACCATCATTCTAGAACAAGACTCTTCAGATATAGGAAAATTCGAGTGAATTAAGTCTAAATTGAAACAACAGGGTGCAATAGTCTCTGTCATCAAAACTGCTTGTGTTACAACAGCTCTCTGCTAGATATGAGATAATCTTCCTGCAACACTGTAAAACAGTTCTGCTTTTATAAACGATGGCAGAATAGTATTGGGCAATACCCTTAGTTAATATTTGCTCAGTCACTGACCACAACAAACATTACAAGTAGCAAAATAAATTGTTAAGGGATTTAAGGAAGACCATTTAAAAACATAGGCTTTTAGGATAAAATAAAAGGCCCATCTGAAGAACCTAGAAAACATAAGGACTACCTAGTTCAATGTTCTCTCTATCACAGTGGTAAAATAGATGTCAAAGCACAGTGGTAAAATAGATGGCAAATTATAGTAGGATGTCATTTCTTTATATGTATATAGCATCTAATAATTACTCTTTTATGCATTTTTCCAGTCTCCCCTTGAACAGTTGGCATCCATGACATCCTCTTGCAATGAGCTGCACACCTCAGTATCTGATGCATGAAGAATGAATCCCTTTTTTGGTTTTAGTGGCTCAGAGAGTAACCGAAGTCAGAGCTGTAACTGAGATGCAGACTCATCACCAGCTGTGACTGATCATGCTGCTGCTGAGACAATCTGTCCCTTCCCAGCCTCCTGGAGCATGATGCTCTACCCCAATCTTTTACTCAGCACTAGCACTCCATAGCTATGTAGTAAGAGCACATTGTTTATCAAGCTGTAAACTACTCCTGTGGTTTAGTTTTCACCTACATCAGTCTTACCATCCTCCTGTTGAAAATGAAAGGAGCCTTTTATGACCTTTTTGGAAGCTTTCATGCACTTCATCCAGTGGACAGATGCATGCTGGTATTACACATACAGCCCCAAAGTTTGGGTGCAAATGGCACACCTGTGCTAACCTAATGGAGTAATTTGCCTTTAAGGATTATTTTACAACTCTCTCTGAAACAACCTGCAGAGTCGGTCTTACTGGTTTGAAAGATACATTCAGCCAATCTAATTTTCATACAAAAAAAAGGCCACAAACAAGAAAGAACTATTACATGAATACATAATCCTCTTTGGAGTACAGTTGAATCTCAATTTATTTGAAATCTAAGCATATTTGGTTAGGGAAATGTCTTTTTTCTCATTTTTTACAAGATGAGACAGCAATTTTAAAAAACTTGTTTATTATTTCCAAACTGTCTATAATTTCATCTACTTCCACCTATTGGCCTTACACCTGAGATCTAACTTCGACCATATTATAACAAAGAGAGGATATATAAGAATTCTTCTGCAAAATCAGGATTTTCCTAGACTGTAACATTTTCAAGAGAAACAAGCTTTTACTTTATGCCCTATAAATTTTGTTAGATGCATGATCTGATGAATTAGTGTCATAAAAATCTACTTTAGACTGTTCACAATCAAAAGAATGTTTCTTTCTAGAACTATCAGCAAAGAAATAGCTCAGTCTGTGAAAAAAAGAAAATCCACTGAATTTTAAGAAAGTATTTCCTGGCTTTTTTCTCTTCACATTTAGAATAAGCTGAAAATAAAATTCTAGTTTGATAGAGAGCTGTATAAAAGATTTAAAGAGCCAGCATTTAAATCACAGAACAACTTAGGCCTGAAGGGGACTTCTAGAGATTGTAGAGTTCAAATCTTCTCTCGCTTGGTGTTGAGTATCTCCAAGGATGGAGCCTCTACCATCTCCCTTGGTAACCATGTTCCAGTGTTCAGTCATGGCTCATAGTGAGGGTACTTTTTATCTGTGTGCTTGTTGTCCCTGGTATCCACAAGTCTTCTCTCTTTTTGCTGAGCACAGCCAAGAAGAGCCTGACTCTGCCCATCCTTCTATTAGGCAGGTGAAGACGTCTTCATTTGGCACTCCCCTCTTCAGACAAAACCAGTTATCTCAGAATCTCCTGTACGCCACCCACTCCAGTCACAATCACAGGGGACCGTGCCATGCTCACTTCAGTATTTCAATATCCTTCCAATAGAACAGAATTAAAAATGGATCCAGATGTGGTCCATTACCAAAGAAATTCTGGATTATTTTTCAAACATGTTTTTTAGACAGGCTTTCAGGACATGACAAACTTTTTACATGAGCTTTATTTATTTTCATGGCATCACCTTATAGTAGGTGGACAAGTATTAATTGAAAAGCACAATTGCAAACACAAGTGACAACAAAACTGCTTCCACACTGACCAGCTGCTAGAACAAGTGGACCAACAGCCCCACCCTGCAGGGAACAGAAAGCCAAAGGTAAAGAAACACCAAGTGCTTTCCCCAAGGAAAATATATCCTACAGCACACAGTTTAAAAAGCCATAGAAGAAGTCTTTGTGAACTGCAGGAGTGTGGTACTTGCCAGTAGGGCAGTCCAGGACCTAAGAGGCCTCTCAGATACCCAGGAACTTGCAAACCCTACATAGCAGACCTGTGCCATTTGCACTCACATGAGTTAACCCCTTGTCTGCAGATTCTGGAAGCCAGGGAAAAAGCAACCCTTTCCCAAGTGGCAAGTAGATCCAGGTCTACTCATAAAATTTAGATTTAAGGTAGTCCATTCACCTCCCAGCAATATGCACAGAAGTGGAACAGTGAGCCTGGGAGTCAAATGATCAACTTCATGGTAGGCATGGAGTCTGTTTTCAAAGCTGCTGGATTGCTTACAGCTAGGCTTGAATCTGAGACACCTGGCTGGGCATTGACCACTTGGTATCTGCAATCCTGTAATAACAGAGCTGTCAGGCTGTAGGACAGTTAGGCAATGTAATCCTCTACTGATTCTATCTTCACAAGAGAAACACGCTTTGTATAAATTATAGACACCAATGTCTCAGTGTTCTAAACATTGTAACAGTTGAAATTTTTTATTTCTGCATCTGTATCAGTACCTTACATATTACTGTATCACAACACATTTGGCTACACTCATTATTCAAATAATCCTTTTAAAAATTTTAAAAATACGTTTTTCAGGGTAGGCATTTAAACTTTCTGGAAATTTACAGGTTCATGAAAAGAGGTGTCCAGTTAGAGGGAAAACACATCTGTTACATGCACTGTAATATTTATTACATGTTTTTGAGCTTTGTGGATTTATATCCCTAAAAGTTTTCTTACTCAGCAAAAGCAGTGGTGGGATCTTCCATTTAAGAGACAGCAAAATGCATAAACCACAGGAAAAACAAAGTGGGAAGCCATATCTCAGTAGATCCTGAGTTCAGAAAAATATTGGTGTTTGCTTCTTGAAAAATAAAGACTTCAGGAAATCCTGTGTCTTTATATCTAGATCCTATAAATTAATGGCAAAAAAGTATGGAGCATACCCATCTTATTAGTCATATTTTTCCCAATAACATATCTCTTAAGGCTACATTTTTAGCACACTATATTTGAAATTGGTTAATGTCATTGCTAACATCTTAAAGCTGCTGATGAAAAAAAAATCATGCAATTACCAACTGAAATCATGTCCTCCAGAAAGCTGTTTACTCATCCCTTTACTTCCTCTTGAAAAAAAATCTAGGACATTATTACAGAGAAACTTATATTTTGGAACACTCGCATCTGATAAGCTCAAAGCATCCCTAATGCAAAATTATTGAAATAAATATTAAAGTCACACAACATGCATTCTCAACATGGACTTACTAGTTGGACCTTCCAGAGCATTGAAACTGCCAAATACACAGACCATGTGGGTGTTTCAAAAACAAACACCAGGAGCAGTATAATCTCCCCTCCTTTTCTACTGCTGCTGTCATCCTAGTTCTGCTATGGTACAACCACCTAACCTTTGCTCAGATGTTTGAGGACATTGTTCAGTTGAGAGGAAGAGCTCTAAATCAGTCCATAGAGTTGAACTGTGAAAGGTAAGAGAGATAAAACTGGGGAGAAAGGCAAGCACACAGGGATGACACTAGACAAGTAGCCCAACAATCAAGAGGAAAGACATCAATGTGGAAAGATAATTACCATCTCAAGGGAAAAAAATTAACTGGGAGATTGCAACCTCCTGTATTGATAATTTGGATGAGGGGATTGAGTGCACCCCTTGGTAAATTCTCAGACAACACTGAGTTGGGTGGGAGGTTGATGTGCTGGATGTCAGGAAGGCTCTGCAGAGGGATCTGGACAGGGTGGATCAATGGTTCAAGGCCAATGGTATGAGATTCAAGAAGACCAAGTGTGAGCCTTGCTCTTGGGTCAAAACAACGCCATGCAGCACTAAAGGCTTCAGGAAGAGGTCAGTATATAAAGCGAAAGTAATGAGGTAGAATGGGGAGATGTTTTATGTGATCGGTGTTTGTCTTCCCAAGCAGTTGTTACACATGACAGAGCTCTACTTTGCTTGGGATGGCTGACCATGGGAAATAACAAATTCATTCCTTGTTTTGATTTGCTTTTCTGCGCAGCTTTGGCTTTCCCAACCCACAAGATTTCTAACTTTTACTCATCTGATCCTCTCCCTGATCCCACTGGTAGGTGAGTGAGTGAGCGGTTGCTGCATGGGGCTTGGTTGCTGGCTGGAGTTAAACCACAACAGTGGGTAATGGAAAGCCATTTTGGCAGCAGAGTAACAAAAACAAACAGAAGGTGCCACTGTTGCAGATGCAAAGAGGAAAGAAGTCACAGAATCACTAGGTTGGAAGAGACCTTCGAGATCATTGAGTCCAACCCAGCCCTAACATCTTAACCATGGCTCCAAGTGCCACATCCAGTCTTTTTTTAAGCACATCCAGAGATGATGACTCCACCACCTCTCCAGGCAAACCATTTCAATACTTTATCACCCTTTCTGTATAAAACTTTTTCCTAATATCCAACCTGTATTTCCCTTGGCACAGCTTGAGACTGCATCCTGTGGCTCTGTCAGTCATTGCCTGGAGAAAGAGACTGATCCCCACCTGACCACAACCACCTTTCAGGAAGTTGGAGAGAGGTCACCTCCGAGTCTCCTCTTCTCCAGGCTAAACAACCCCAGCCCCCTCAGTTGTTCCTTGTAGGGCTTGTGTACTACACTGGGCCTCACATGCCCTCCCCAGTACAAGTGGTGCTTCACCACGGGGTGAAATGTTTGCTCCAGCATGTGGAGTGCTCCAAATGCCACCCAATCACTCTGGCTACTGCTTACTCCTCCTCCTGTGGAACTGCAAGTCACATCCCACAAGCATTTGTCCCACATAACATTTTAACAGGTGGCACAGAAACCCATCAGCCCAGACCTGCTCCGCAGAAACACCCTTGCAGATTCCTGTGCCACTGCCCACCCACAAAGCTGTTGGGCCACTTACCCTGGGTGAGGAGTCCCCTGGGTCAGCCAGGGCTTGCATCTGGTCTCAGTTCAGCTAAGGACACCACAGGAGTTAAGGGCATAGCCCATGAGGGACAGCAGTTGTGAAGAAGAGCCCCTGCCTCCAGTGCAGCCCCAGGCGCTCTTTCTCCCCATGTCACAGGTACTGAGTTCTAAGGATCACTGAAGTCCAGCTCCTGGCCCTATGCAGGACATCCTCAGAATCACACCATGTTCCTGAAAGCATCTTCCAAATGCTTCTTGAATTCTGGCAGGCTTGGTGCTGAGACCAGGTTTCTGGGGAACCTGCTCCAGTGTCCAATCACTCTCTGGGTAAAAACCTTTGCCTAACATCCAGCCTAAATCTCTCCTGACACAACCTCAGGCCATTCCCTTGTTTCCTGTCATTGTGCACCACAGAGATCAGTGTCTGCCCCTCTGCTCCCCCTCATGATGAAGCTGTAACTGCAGTGAGGTCTCCCCTCAGTCCCCCCCAGGCTAGACAGACCAAGGGATCTCAGCCGCTCCTCATGTGGCTCCCCCTCTAGACCCTTGACTATTTTCATAGCTCTCCTTTGGAAGCTCTCTAATAGTTTAATGTCTTTTTTGTATTGTGGCACCCAGAACTGCCCCAGCACTGGAGGTGAGGCCGCCCCAGTGCAGAGGGACAATCCCTCCCTTGCCGGCTGGCGATGCTGGGCCTGATGCCCCCCAGGACACGGCGGGCCCTCCTGCCTGCCAGGGCACTGCTGATTTATAGGCAATTTTCCATCAACCAGGAACCCCAGGACGATGGAAATGAGGTCTCCAGCCACTCGTTCCCCAGTCTGTACGTACGTCCAAAGTTACCCTCTCGCAGGCGCAGACCGGCACTTGCCCTTATAAAGCTTCACACAGTGGCGGCCGCCCAGCCCTCCGATTAGCCCGGCTCTCTCTCCCGAACCCGTCTGCCCCCGAGGGCGTCAGCACCTCCGCCCCACTTCACGCTGCCCTTTTTACTCCTCCGCCGGCCCCCGGAGCGCCCGGGACGGCGAGGCCGCTCCCCTCCCGCCTCCGCGGCCGCCCCGCCCCGCGCGGCTTCCGGACCCGCTGGGAAGTGGGACAGAAGCAAAGGCGGCGGCCGGGGAGGTGGGCAGGGATCCGGGATCGGTGGTGCTCGCCGGCTTCGTTCCTCGGGGGTGCGTGGGGCAGAGGGGGGGGCTCGGCTCGGCTCGACTGTGTCCTTACACCCAGGCCCCATCCGCCTGGGGCTCTCCCGAGCTTTCCTCGATGTGGGCCCTGAGCCGCTGTAAACTCTGCTGTGGTGTCGCGGGCCTCGCGCCCGGCCCGGCCCGGCTTGGCTCAGTTCGGCTCGGCTCGGCTCGGCCCGGCCCGGCCCGGTTCGGGGAGCGCTTGGGCCGGGGCACGGCCGGGGCTCGGGCGGGGACCTTGGGGAGCGTCTGCGGGCGGGCGAGGAGGGTGCCCTTGCCAGCCGGGCTGGGGGTGATTCCCCTTCCTCAGATGTCCTCTAATGTCAGTCCCTGGGCTGACTGGCTGCTCCCCGAGAGAGAAAGCGACGGTCTCCGAGCTGGTTAATCGCGACATGCTGGGGAAAAGCATCAAGAGCAGCCTAATCATCGTTTCCCCCTGCTGTGTGTGTGCCTCTTGTGGCTGCAAGCCAGCAAGAAACCCTCGGTCCGTGCTTTGTCGGGGAACCTTTCCTGATATCGGTCTTTTGTCGTTTAAATGGCAGGAGGCCGGAGCGAGGGAGAGAACAGTGTGGGGAGATTCGTCATCGAACGTGGGCTTCGTGAATAGCCTGGTGGGTTGTACTGCAGATCTGCAACATGGAAAAGCAACTGCTCGAATCCTCAGAGGAGCGAACGTTTCAGTACCAAGATTCTCTGCCTTCCCTGCCAGTACCTCCTCTTGATGAATCTTTGAGTAAATATCTCGATGCAGGTAATTACTTAATGTTGTAATGGTAGCGTGTCATGTGCTGTTGTAAGCAGGCTAATCTGAAGATGTTTGCTAAGTGATTGTAGACACGGCTTGTACTGTAATTGGGGCGTGGGATACAGACAGACTTAGTGTGCCAAAGGATCTCTTTCAGGCTCAAAACTGGAAATGCAGTGCCCAGAGAAACTTGAGTAAAAATTTCTTATTTATCCCTAATTACCTTTCTTCAAGGGAATTTGGCACTTGGTTAATTTTTGGTTTGAGGATTTTTTTTCACTTTTTTTTTTCTCAAAAAAAAAAAAAAAAAGCTGGTCTGGTGAAAGATACTTCACTTAAAAATTTTGGTTTGCATAACTGCTTGTTTATAACTGTATTTGCTCAGGATCTTTTTAAAAGAACAGTTATTTAAAACTTTGCATACTTAATATTGGTGAGAAAGAACACTTATTAACTATACAGTCATAGGCAAAAGCAGTGGTGAGCATTGTCACACAATTTAGCTTGGATACTTTTTGCCTTGACATGTTGACTAACCTAAAGAACATCACAGAGATGTTTTGAAAACAACATCCATGCACATGTATCTACTTTTGTTTATAAAGAAGAAATGACTGGTTAATTCTTTATTATGTATTGAGAATGGCAAAAATGCATTATGAAGTACCTTGAGATTATTTTTCTCTATTTCTTCAATAATTTTCAGAACTCTGAGACATGGAGTTTTTTCTGGAACATCTACTTTGTATCTTACCATCTTGCAGGTATTACACAATTGATAACAAAGTAAGACTTGGAGTTCTCTCCTTAGCAGAAGCATACTACACCATATTTTCTCTTTCCCAAAATAAAATTCCTGAAGCTTACTCTTGAGTTCCTATTTATTTCTGAGTACTGGAAATGGCCTGTTTTGGTGTTTTTACATAATTGTTTTTTAATGCAGAATATTGAAATGGTAGGTTTTGAGCAAAAGTGTTGTGTGTGTATGTGTGTCTAAAATAATGCACTGTCTTTTTGCTGTAATGCAGATTAACTAAGGTTGTGCTGCAAGAGTAAAACCTGCAATAACAAAATTGCTGTTTAGTTTTTTAAACCCATCTGTCTCTCCAGGTTAATAAATAACTCTCTCATGGAGTGAGAAGAGCTGACAGTGAATTTGTTTGCCCTTATTTTCTGATTCTGATCTGTTTTCATAAATACCCTTATCACATGTCCCTTTATTTTTCATGCTAAAGTTAGTAGCTGCTTACTGTTCCATGCACAAAATCATTCTATAAATTTAATCACTGTTGCTCTTCTTTAGTCTCACTGGTGGTGCAGAAAAGTTAGCCCAGCATTTGCCAGTCTTCCCTTGTACAAATATATTGAAGTCAAAGGGTGCAGGGCACAGTTCTAGACATAGCTCTGTGAATTTCATTGCTTAAGCTTGTCATTGTAGTCTATAAATGTGAGTGGAGGAAAGGAGATGCTTCCATAGAACAATTCAGAACCTCCAAATGATTCTTCATAGAGGCTTTAAATTAGTCCTGGGAAACTTTCTTTCCTTGGTTGGAGGAGGACTCTGGGCCATTGTCATTAGTCAGGGCTCCTGCTGGTAGAGCACTTCCCTGTTTAGAGCCAGCTAACTAGAAAAGCTGGACAAAGTATGCATCAGAAAAGCTGGACAAAGTACGTGTCAGAATATGCCTTATTTAAGGCTTTACAGTTGCTGCCTCTTAAGGAGTAACCCTGTTTTGAAAGTAAGCCTTGAGCAGAGAAGGTGACCATTGCCATGTTACTGAGCGTTCCAGCCCAGAGGATGAGATTCAGAAAAATAGACTCAACATGAAAGTATGAAAGCTCAAACTTCCAGCTTCCCAGAAGATTCCTTAACTGTGCAACTGAAGGTGTCTTTCATGGGATGCTTCTTGTTCGTGGGCAGAACTGATCCCCCAATCAGAAAGAAAGACCAGATCTGTGGGCTGAAGAAATGCAAGAGAAGTTTCACTGAACTTTGGTGAGAAGGAGGCCGAATTCTGCTCCTTAACAGTGCTGCTTCTACATCTGATTGAATAGTTTTTAAATGGAAAGAAACTCCGTGAGTCATGTAGATTGGGAAGAGTTCCTCTGGACCAAATTTCTGCTCAAAGCTGGTCCAACTACATGTTGCCCAGGCCCTGCTTAGCCAGGTTTTGTTTACTTACAAGGGTGGAGACTGTGTTTCATTGTAACCTGTTCCGGTGTTTGAGCACCCTCATGATTGTGGGAGAGGAAAGAAAAACAACAAACAAAAAAAAATCAGTCATGACCAAAAAACCCCCAAAACTTCACATTTTCCATGTGAGAAATTTTCTGCATTCCACCTTTATTCCATTCTCTCTTATCCTAATTCTTTCCATCTCTGAAAGGAACTTTGCTTTATCCTCACCAGGACTTTCTATTCAGTTGAAGAGGGCAGCCAGGTCTTCCCTTTGCATTCTCTTCATAAGCTCAACAAACAGTTCTCAGCCTCTTCTCATTGTGCATTCTAGTCCCCTTGCAATCTTAATCACCCCCTTAAGGTTCAACTAAATTAATGGCAAATCTTTTTCAGCCTAAATAATTCCATGAATTGAGACCAGAACCAAATAATTTTGCTTGGTTTTCATTTTTTATTGAATATTGCTCTGCAATGACTTTATAACCTGAATAACAGAGGGTAATCATCCTCTCTTTCAATAGTATGTGATAATAAGGTCATTTCCTGGGAAGCCTGAGTGTAGGACTACCTTCAGTCAGGGGAGGCTTTCAGCTTCAGGGTGAAAACTGTAATCTGCGAAAGGGTAAAGGTGAATGGCTCTATTGCTGTTATTTCTTTTTTCATTTGTGTTCACAACTGATGGTGTGCAATTCAAGCTGCATCTAGATGTATAGGCACTATGTGAATGTCCATAGCTGATCATCTGTGGTGGAGGTGTAAGGGGAATGCTGGTACCTTTCCAGTTGTGATGGTGTTGTATTGGAATTTTTGGAGGTTCCAATGCAATTTAAACACAAGCATTGTATGGTAATACTTGATAGTAGATGTTCTGTCTTGCTGCCTAAGGTTGTCAGAATGTGCTTAAAACCACATTTGTAGGTAATATTTGGCCCTCACTCTCCATGATTGTCCTGTACAATAGAAAACATATCACTAGGACTTGCATTATTGTTGTGGAATACCATAAGGAGACCAGGATGTATCTGAAAATTGATCCATATCTTTCACTTTGGGACAGGTAGAGCAAAATACTGAAATGCCTTATAAAATTAGGATTAAAATGGAATTATTTTGAAGAGGAGTGAGGATGACTTATACTTGATGGAAGAGGACCAGCACTGAAGAGATTGTACATGAAAAACTATGTGGGTTCTGTTGAGATGTGCCCATGAGCGCTGAGGGAGCTGGTCTTTGTCTTTGAAAGGCCACTTTTGATAGTCTTTGAAAGATCATGATTACTGGTGAAGGTTTCTGAGGAAAGAAAGAAAGCAGATGTTACTGTTGTCCTCAGGGAGGACAAGACTGATTAATCTTACTTTAATTCCTGGGAATCCCTGGCAAATAATCATGAAAACCATTTCTGTGCTTATGAAGTACAAGAAGGTGATTGGAAATGGGCAGCATGGGTTTCTGAAGAGGAAATTTTGCTTGACCAACATGGTAGCTTTTTATGATGATTTTTTTATGGTGACTGTCTCGCTGGATAAAGGAAAAAGAGTGGATATTGTTTATACTGACTTTAGTAAGTCTTTTGGCGTATCAAAAGATTTTTTAAAAAATCTTCATAGAGGAACTGGTAAAGTATGGACTAGGTACAGGACAGACAGATGGGCTGGAAACTGTATCATCTGCTGGGCTCAAAGGTCTGTGGTCAGCAACACATATGCCAGCTGTAGGCCAGTCTCTGATGGTGTACACCAGGGGTCCAGTAATTCTTAATACAGTCATTGGTGGTGATGGGACACACTGTACTGAGTTTGAGAGCTTCCAAAGCTGGAAGAAGTAGCTAATACACCAGATGGTTGTTCTGCCATCAGAGTGAGCTTGATTGGCTGGAGGAACAGACTAACAGGAGCCTCATGAAGCTTAACAAACACAGGGAAATGCCAAGTCATGCATCCAGGAGAGAATAACTTGCCACAGCAGCACAAGCTGGGACATAGTGCCTGAATGCAGAAGAGCCCCTGCGGTCTGGTGAGCATGAAAACTTGAGCATGAACTAGCATGTGGCCTGGCAGCAAGGCATGTCAGGGATCTCTGGGGCTCTCTATGTAGGAGGAACATGGCCAGCAGGTACAGAGAAGTGATCCTTTCCCTTGGTTCAGTGCTGGGGAGGACACATCTGCAGTTCTGTGTCTGTTTCTGGGCTGTCCGTACAAGCAAGATAGGAACATACTGAAGTGAGCCCAGAGAGGGGCTGTGACAGGGATTAAAGGCTTGGATTATCTGACATATGGGAAGAGACAGAGAAAGCTAGGATTGTTCAGATCTTTGCAATATGTGTGATTACCTGTTGTGGAGGAGTAAATAAGATGGAGCCAGACATCATAATAGTATCCAGTGACAGAATAAGTGGTGATGGGCACAAACTGAAATACAAGAAATTCCTTTTAAACATAAGAAATTCCTTTTAAACATGAGACCACTTATTGCAGCAGTGGTCAGACAATAAACAGGCAATTGTAGAGTGTTTGTCCTTGGAGATATTTAAAACCCCACACAGTCCTAAGCAACTTGCTGCAACTGACCCTACAGAGATGCAGAGTTGGACAGGATGATCTCTAGGTTTATGAAGAAGAGAAAACCAGTGGTTGCAGGCAAGCAGGTGTGATTGCAGCAAGATGGAGTTGCGATTTAATGCTTAGATTAAGTGTTTGGGACCTTGCCCTGCTGAAACTCGCCTGTTGCTTGCAAAAGATAGATGAGAGATGATGCAGATACTTGTTTAAATTTTCATAATTGTGTATCTTTCTTTGTTTCTTAGCAGCTATAAGTCAATTACAGGCTTACCAGTAGCAAGGCAAACAAGAAATTAACTAATGATAGTGTCCAGCAGCCTCAAATATTACTTGGGCCTCAGTGTGTAGGCATTGAATCACCAGAAACACACCTCCCACACAACCCTCCATTCTGTTTCCCACTGACTTCACAATATAAGTATAACTAAAACAGAAAATACATTATGCACCAGGTGAGTATAGGAAAAAGATGAGATGTGCCTGTATGAAAAATGACATCAGCACTGCCCATTACTAACCAGAGATTTCATGGTAAAAAGTCTTTTAAGGAGTGTTTAGATTAAAATAATGACTAGTTTTGCAGATGTTTATGGAGGACTTCAGCCTATAATGCACATGATCTGAGAGGAATCCAAAAGGATTTAAAAACAGAAAAACTGTCTACCAGTAACTGCATTTGCTGTCAATCAAAGGTGGATATAACACAGGGACAGTGAATGAGAATTGATATGCACGTGGCTTGTAGACCATGAAAGGACTTGAAAATACAGACAAGTAGCTTGTAGTTGGTGCAGTACGGTGGCAGACATGTGTGCTCAATGTGTTAATTTACAAAGTTCCTGTAAATGTGATTCCTTGGAAGAACTCCATAGTATTTACAGATGTAAATATATTTGATTTAGTTATCTGTTAGGTATTTTAGGTTTTCAGCAATTACTTCAGTCTGCTATCATCTGTATTTATTTAAAAGTATGTATTTATGTTTTATTAGATCATACTGATGTATTTACAGACTTTTGAGAGATGTTTAAAAGGTTTTCCCTTCAAATACTTGTTTTAGAAAAATTAATTCTCATTCACTCCCCTGCCTGTGAATATCTGAATCTTGGAATAAATCTTAGTATTCAGTTGTCTTTAAAATAAAAACATATTTTTTTTACAGTGAAGCCATTCCTTAATCAAGAAGAATATCAAAGAACTGAGGATATAGTTAAAAAATTTGAAAATGGCATTGGAAAAGAGTTGCATCAGAAATTACTGGAGAGAGCTAAAATGAGAAGGAATTGGGTGCGTATTTACATATGTGAGAAATCATAATTCAGTGTAAGAAATCTTAATTCAGCTTGTGGAAAGTTGGTTATTCAGGATGTAACTCAAAGAATCATTTCGCTTTTTAAAATCTTCAGATCTTCCTTACATCTTGCACTTGACGAGTGGATATGACCTCATTCATATTCACTTACATATGTGTCGTCTTTTTTTTTCAAAGCTGAGGGGTTAAGAGAGCTCACTAACTGAAATTTAAAATTATTTACCAGATTTTGGATGCTTTATCTGTCAGTCTCTCCTTCTATGACATCTGTCCCTTCTCTCTCCACCATGGGAAAAAACAAAAACAACAACAACAACAAACCAAACAAAAAAACCCACCCAAAAAACCCCAAAGAAAAAAATAAAAAATAAACAAAAAAAGAAGAAAAAACACCACAAAAAAAACCCCACCAAAAAAAACCCAAAACCACAAAAACCCAACAAAACCAACCCTGGAATTCAGAGTTGGTTTGTTTCTTTTTTTTCCCAGAAGGAAACTATGTGGTAGCATTTTAAAGTTGTCTTTTAACAGAGAAAGAGATAGAAGGAAGGTCATTAGTTATTAATTCAAGTGGAATTCACGAGGGCTTTTTAAATCCTAACAGGACACACTCCAGAGTGAGGATTTTCAGATGGTGGCAGAAAATGTGCATTATGAACTGTCTCTCTCAGATCCCTTCTCAACACAAGTCTAGTTTCCTTCTATTCTTCATGGAGTAGTCTGGGATGTTCACAGCAGCCACAACTGAAGTCTGCAAGAGTCTAAGATTATGAATATCAGGGAAGAAATACCATAATTTACAGTTTAATATTCTTAAGCAGCATTGAATTTTATTTCAAGCTGGAAAGCAGAAGAGCTAAATGTGTCTTTATCTTAGTTAGTTTTGAACCACTGTCCTGCCTTGTGTTCTATAGGACCCACTATTCATAGTATAAAATAAAAAAGTAAAAAGCAGACAGTTGAACAGTCATGCAATTATTAAAGAATTAATGAATAGCAATAAGTTCTGATGTTAAACATTTTTCATTTCAGCTGGAGGACTGGTGGCTGAATGTGGCTTATCTTGATCTTCGCATCTCCACACAAATCCTCTGCAATATGGGAGGCCCTGGTCCCTATATTGAGCACTACTGGCCGCCCAAGGAGGGCACTCAGATAGACAGAGCCTGTATAAATATATGGCACACCCTGAAATACTGGGATCTGCTACGAGCGTAAGACTTCAAGAAAAAATGACTGATCCTAAATATTGATGTATCCCTCTGCATCCCTTAATTTCATGTGTGTATTCATGTCCATTGGCATGCTTTCTTTGCTGTAACAGCCAGGTTTGTCTTACGTTGATTTAATTCCATCATCTTAATTTCTCTTGCTTAATGTTGCTGTGTTTGTTACTACAGAGAGAAGGTTGCCATAGAGAGATCTGGAAATACTGTTCTGGACATGAACCAATTTCGAATGCTCTTCTGCACTTGCAAAATTCCTGGGCTTACCAGAGACTCTCTCAGCAATTATTTTAAAACTGGTAAACAAATGAAAATTGGGGATTAATGCAAGCAAATTTTTTTTATTAATATGCTAAAGGAGTGGTCAGTTTAACCATAAAAATTCTTGCTTTCTTGAGCACTAAATCAGCTACTGATTGTAGAGTATTTGTATTATGAAGCAAATAAGGTGTCTCATCTACAAATGCCCTTTTTGGTCCAATATTTAGTCCTTATCAAATTGGAGTAAAAGAGAGCTCTGCTTCAAATTTTTGTATAACCAGCCTGATGCCTGTAATAAACATGCCAGCATTAAGAATTGATGAAAGACAAATTCTTTGTTATAAGTATGTGTGGATTCAGCAAGGAACACTTGTTTCAGCAGAGGGAGTTCCTGCCTACAAGAGACACAAATAAATTAAATTTGCTGCTAGATAATGACAATTACTTGAAGCAGTTTCTAACAGTGACAGTTATGTGTGACTCCTGTTGGTTTTTAAAATGTCTCCGAGTTTGCAGAATTGAATAAAAAGTAGTCTGTAGGACTTGCTTCGTTTTTTCTGTATCTGTCACTTTATCCCCAAGGTTGGATTTTCATTTATTCCTGTTTTTCATTTCAGAGGCTGAAGGTGAATGTCCATCTCACTTGATAGTCCTGTGTCGAGGTCGAGTATTTGCATTTGATGCTATGCATGAAGGCAGCATGCTGACTCCTCCAGAGATTTTCAGGTTTTCAAAATGCTTATTTTAAATGAACTGTCTTATTTAAGCTATATACAAAAGAGGATTTTTTTTCTATTCCCTTGACCTCAAAAATTTAGGTGTAAGAGAGACTACAGCTTCCCCTCTAGCTGAAAGGTTCAGATTTAAGCAGATCCTTCAATGGATGGCAATTTCTTTCCATGTACTATTGTAATACATCTGTAGAGCATCATACAAAAGGGCTGAAAAAAGATACTTCAGTAGGAAATACCACTTTTTATGGTTTCTTTACATGGAATTAGTAGGATTACAGCTATCATCATTCCTTCCAGGTACAATCCACATTGCAACTTAATCATTATCAAAGTTGAAGCACTGTCATATGTTGAACTCTCCTATTAGATGCAGACATAGTTTCAGCATAAGTCTCTTGTGGCTGATTTGGTATCTATATGCATCTCCTTACTAAAAAAGGGTTGTTAATTTTGCCAGGGAATAACTTCATGCAGTTGTCAAAGTGTTGCTTATAGTGCACAACAGAAGGCTTATAATTAAAATTGCCAAAAAAGTGGATGGCCAAATTCCTCAGGCAAGACAAACCTAATTAGAGAAACTAAAAATCACTTTTTAAAAATAGTCTGGTAGATTAATACCTAATATTTTAACATATGCATTTCTAATTTTTATAGTTGTAGCTGGTAAGTCAAGCCAGTAACAAAGAAATGAGCACTTGGAATACAGACAAAATCCTCTGAATCTATTGTCTATAGGAAGGGCAGGTTGGGTTTGGTTTTGGGGGTTCTTTCTGTTTGGCTTTATTTTTGTAAGGTGTCTTATATTTTTGATACTATGTAACTAGTGATCAGTGGTGATATTTAATAGGCAAGAGTGCTAGAAAAAAGAACAAGTCAGATTAAGTGCCTGTAATTTATGGAGTTTCTTTAACATGGAGAACAGCATATGGAAAACTGAATTTTCAAACTAAGATTTACCCCTCTCATGTTCTTCTGAAGGAGGAGGTAGGAAGAGAATTGCTCTTGTATAGTTCAGAATCTACATTCAGGATGTACTGCAGCAAGTGCTCTTCTTGAAGGTTTATCTTGAGAGGAAGGTTAGCTGCTGTAGAAGCTGTAAAGCTGCAGTATGGCAGATGTCTGTTGCTCTGGAAAGTCTCAGCCTGCACTGTTGAAGTCTTAAATCTGGTTTTAAATTAAGCATGTAATAATGCTTTAGCATTATTATTGTCTCTGTGTGTTTGTACTGGGCTTGTAGGTGCTGAGTGACTGAAACCTGAGCAGGTCTTCAATTGTCCTTACAATCTAGGGGAGCTGATTCATGCTTCCTGAAAAGTCACACTGGCTTGTGAATGTTGAACCAAAATTCCACCTTTGCAAAAAAAGAGACAGAGACACAAGGTGACTTTTACCTTCTCTCCAGCTGTTGTTCACTTCAGTTTTTGAAATCTTCTTAAAGGCAACTTAGGTATATACAGGAGAGATGCTACAGTGAACCAGATGGGCCAGGACTGGCAGCCCTGACAAGCAATGAAAGGACCAAATGGGCAGAGGTAGGAATACTTAGCAGCTGCTTCCTGGGAAAAGCATTGTGATCACTGGAAAAACATTATTTCGCTTAGCTTTGTCTTTTTATGCCTTCTAGCTACGGGAATACTTGATTCATCTTGATCCAAAGAACTTAACTCTTCTGGAAAAAATTCAGAGAAGTTTGTTTGTGGTTGGCCTTGATGATTATAGTCCTCATGCAACTCCTGAGGACTACACTGAGGTAGCTAAGAATTTTTGATTCATATCTGATAATCTTTACATTAAAAATTCTCCTGTATATATACAGAAGTAGCACCTCTTTGTCTTTCAGAACAGTAAAAATGAAGCAGATAAATATGAAAAAAATTCCATGCTTTTTTGATCTATAGGAAAACTTAAATAGTTTTAATTGTTAGGCCATTGGAAGTGAGAATTGCTGAAATCTACCTTCATAACATTTTAGCCTTCTATCCTTCAGGGTCATTAACTTTTTATCAACCTTCTAATTAATAACTTGGCCCTATAATTGTGTTTCATCTTGAACTGGATGAAAATGTCATCTGTCAGGGAGGTCTTGCCATTTTAATGTAGACTAGGTTTAGCTTACAAAGACTGGCAGTGTTCTTGGTGTTTTTTAGCCTTCACAGTATGTTTCTTCTACTTTAGCTTACAAGGCTGGGGCTAGCAGGTGATCCGACTGTGCGCTGGGGAGATAAATCCTACAACTGCATATTCTTTTCCAATGGAACCTGTAGTGCATTCTGTGATGTAAGTTAAATTTCTTTCCATCTTCTGAGTATCTATTTACTGAATTTTCCCCTTCAGAGTATTATTGTAGGTGTTAATGTGTTACTCTTCAGTATAGCCTTGTTTACCCTGCGCCTGGTCTGGTAAGTTTCCAAAAGCAGTCTGCTTTCTCATGTTCTTCGCTTTTTCATGGTGTTTACTGTTACACCATACTTCAATTAACAGGAGGATCTGAAGTCATAATCTTGTTTCTGAAAGTATTTAATGACAAGTTCCAAAGGAAAAAAATACAAGACGCAAGAAGGCTTTAAATTAACTCTTTGTTTGATGTATCCATTTGAACAGCTGTGTTTTTTAAACTATGTTATTTTAAACTCATTGCAAGGCCAGAAGGGCTTCTGTTTTTCCTTAAATCTGCCTTTTCATGGCAGTAGTACATTGTACCTCCCTGTTCAGCTGCAGAGCAGTTAAAATGGTGGGTGGACTTAAAATACTTCTGTATTTATTGCAGAACAATAAAACAAGACCAACACTGCACAGTAAAGCTGTTGGTCAGCAGCAAAAAGAACAGGATAGGGAAAAAGCAGAAGAGTTTGATCTTCTTTTTGTTATGCAAAGAAATGTAATATCTTCTCTTATCTGATTCTAGCATTCTCCTTTTGATGCCATGGCTTTAATTACCATGTTATCTTATGCTGATAAGAAGATTGTTGAAAATGAGGGAAAATGGAAGGTATCTATCTTTTATAAACTTTCAAGCTTATCAGTTAACGTGTCTTTTCTAATGGATAACATTTTCTGGTTTTGCATCTTTCTGTCTTCATCTTCCCAGGGATCAGATAATGTGAGAGATATTCCAAGGCCAGAGGAACTTGTATTCACAGTGGATTCAAAAATTATGAATGAAATCGGACATACTAAAGAATTGTATTACAAGAAGGTGAAATTCTCTCCTGGTTCTCTCAGTTGTTACTGATACTATTTTTTTTCATTCTGTTTACATGTTTTTAATTGGTCTTTTTTCATGCTGGAGAACAGTAATGAATATGTTCCTGATTAACTGATGAATTTAACACCATGGTTAAATTTGTTACATCGTAATTTATGTTGGGTGTGTTTTATTTGCAGTGGACCAAGTTGTGGTATTTCTTGACTTCTGTTGTTTTTCCTCCTTTGGTATGACAGGTATCTGACTTGCAGCTGGTGTCCTATGCCTTCACATCCTTTGGCAAAGCATTGATTAGAAAGAGGAAACTTCATCCTGATACATTTGTGCAGCTTGCCCTTCAGCTTGCTTATTACAAATGCCATGGACGGTAAGAAAATACCAGCCAAGAATAAAAAACTAGTTTCTTGAGAAGGGGTGTGCAGTGACTTTGCAATGCCAGTATGTAATTTGCCATGGGGATGTAAGAATGAGTAACTTAGGGAGTTTTATAGTAACAGTTGCATAGAGCCATACTTGCTTCAGAAATCTTGTGTACTTGTGCCCATAGGGATAGTACATAAGCATATTATGGAGTGGGTGGTAGAACACAGTCTGTGAGAACTTGAACTTGGGCTGTACAAAGGAAACACTTGGGCCAACATGAAATGCACAGTGGCTCAGGATTCTCTAATAGTTGCTAAATAGTTGCTCAAATGTAGAAGAGAGTTTTGTCTGTAGCATGTGACAGCCACCAGTAAAATATTTCATCTTCTAAGCCTGTAAAAGGCCTCACAAACTTCAGTGTCTCACTTTCTTCAGCAATATTGGGTGTGAAGGTTTGGGTAGAATAATAGAGATGAAGATAGTAGTGACTCTTCAAGTGCTGCCACTGCATTTTTGGATGTGACATTTAATTTTGTATTATTGATTAAAAGGTGTCATTCTTCTTGCTATTGGTGTTATTCCCAAATTTCTGTTTGATAACTAGCACTCATTATGGCTTATGTAAGTCATTACTGACCAGCAGAGTATTGCTTGCTTCAGAAGGAGGAGGGTTTCATCATAGGAGTGTGATGTTTTGTCACTGGTGAGATGTAGCTCATCATGACAAAGGTTGGTTTGCTGAACATCAGGACATTAATTATCTGACTAACATAGCCTTGGTCTGTTGTAAACATGCAAGTATATTTCATGTAGGTTGTATATTAAGTGGTAGAACTGTAGTAGAGCTGGAGTTGCTCCATGTAAAAGCTGTATGGCTGTCAGTATGCAGCAAGAGAAGGTTTTGACCTTTCCCTCTAAATGTTTTGGAACACACTGCTTATTTCAAATGTGTCTCTTAATTTATGAGGGTTTAGATGGTGTAGGTGGAAGTACACGGTGAAACTGAAGCTTGTGTAATGTCAGCTGTTTTGGCTAGAGGCTAGTAGATCTGTAGTCTGCAGAAAATATCCATGGCAATGCAGTCTTTTCAAGGTACGAGTAAAGTACTGGTGCTTTATTCAGTCACCTGTCCCATAAAAGCACATAGAGTTGCTTTGTGGCTCTTTCAGAAACATAACTTAAAGAAAATTACTGGGTTTCTGGTGCTTGTTACCAAGATTGATGTGCAAGATCTTTTGCAGGATTTCTTTAGCCCTTGAGACAGCAAATAATTTTGTTAAGTTAATGAGACACTCTTCCCTAACTTTTGTTCTTAGTCCGGGCTGCTGTTACGAAACCGCCATGACCAGGCGATTCTATCACGGCCGCACAGAGACCATAAGATCTTGTACTGTGGAAGCAGTGGAATGGTGCAAGTCCATGCTGGATCCTTCTGAGAGTGTAAATACTGAAATCCTACTTTAATTACTCTGTATTTAGAAGGCCTGTCATCTGAACCACCTCAAGCTCATTTTTGTGTTGTCTCATTGATGGGAGCTGGGGCCTTTCCCGGGAGATAAATTTTAAATGTTAGGTTGCTTGAACTCTGATTCTGGTCATTGTGACTGAGATGTGCTGTCATGTGTGGGCTTGCTTGGTTTTATGTCCTATTTACCTTTGGGTTTCAAGAATGTAACTGTCTCAAATTACATTCACACTGATTAATTTCACACCCCAAAAAGTTCCTGGGTTCGAGCCAAAGTATTGTGCTATGCAGTTCTTCTGTTGTTTTAATTTTCAAGTGAAATTAGGAAATGTTTATCTAATAGTTGCATCTGAGAGCAAGATTGAAGGGTGTTTCTGTCCTAGTGGTAACAGGGGTGTGTTCCAGAGTTTGTCTCTGAGTAGCTGAGCCAGAGACCTTTTCTTTTCCCAGCAGCTACCCTCTGGTGCTTGGCTGGCAGAGCAGGTCATGTCTTGCTTGCCAAGCAAGAGCTGTACTAAAGCTCTTTCTGTTGCCCTCACTGTACATTTCTCAGAGCCTGAGAAATTAGGCAAGGAGAAGGTTTTTGACAAAGGACAACACATCTTTAGAAAAATCAAAGATTCTATATTATTAATGCATCTAAAAAACATAGAGGAAGACAGCTGTCAGAAAGCATGTGTGATTAATAATTTTGGCCTTAAAGATCACATTTTCCTAGTCTTCAATGGCTTCTTTTCTCATGTACAGCAGTTTTAAAATTCACTTTTCTGGCCATCTTCCAAATCTGCTTTCCTATTCCAAATATGGATTTCTATTATTTCCCTGCTCCTCAGTTACCTTCTAACCAATTACCAGGCTTCTGTGGGTACTACTACTTCTAGTGTGTAACTTTCTGTGTGCACTAACTGTAGCCTTTTTTTTCTTTGTAGTAATAGCAACTCCAGATATTTCCCTATTGTTGTTTTGTTTGGTTTTTTTATACTTAATACTATTTTTTAATACTTTTTTTAATACTAACTCCTGGAGCTTAAAAAGCCCTGTTCAATAGTATTGAAATGAATGTGCTTAAAAGTCTGTGTTTATGTAATTTTTATTACTTTAAAGTCAGATGCTTTGAAATAATCGTTTTGTCTTTAATTTTCTTTTGCCCCTTGTCAGCTTGATAGCTTGATTTTTATCTAACTTGAGTGGCTTCTGTCCTTGTTTCACATTCTCTGCTGCAGCCTCTTGTGTGATGAATAAAAGGATAAATAGTCCTTCTTAAGAAATCAAAGAGCTATCACAATCTAAGGTCTTGGAAGTCAAGATCTTGGACTGTTTCTAAAGGCCTCCTTTGCAAAAACCATGTTATTTGTGTTGTCTCTGACTTTAATATATGAGTTTTAATATAAACTTGGAAAAACCATAATCTTGGGCAGAATTGGCAATCAGCAGAGAAAATCTGGGAATGCACCTAGTAGGAGCTACTGTCCTTCTGAAAAAATGGAATTGTGGAAGGCTTTTGGGTTTGATCACTCTAGTTCACACTGCTGCCTTTCCATTGTTTCAGATTATTTGGGAAAGAGCATGAGGTTTAGAATATTGTTCAGTTCAAAAGTGATCTGAGTAAGAGAGCAGAGATACTGAAAACAAAGGAGCACATTTTCCTGAAAAGGGAATTTGGGTTTGGGAGAAAGGCTTTGAGAGAGTTTCTTATGTACTTTTCAAGTTCATCCATTTTCTTCTATCTAAAATTGTTAGGAACTATGAAAGGGGAAAACCTGCTGGTCTGTGATTGCTGATGTGTTACTCATTTGGACTGATTTTTCTTTTTCTTTTTCTTTTTTTTTTTTTTTTTTAAATTTGAATCCTGCCCTACTTTACAGAATTATCAACGGCTACAACTGATGCATAAGGCATTTGCAAAGCACAATAAACTGAGGAAAGAATGTGAAAATGGAAGAGGTACTCTGGGATCAAAATTTTTGGGTCTTTTTCATGTGGGTAAAAAGGGAATATGATTGTGTGCTACTACATTTTCTCTACGTCCTTATTTTCAACCTGAATAAAAACTACTGCTTAACATTTTATACTTTAATTTTGGAGAGAAGAACTAAAACCTGCTCCTTGCACCCATCCTTGTACCCCAAAAATATATTCACTTGGAATATTTCTTCAGTTTTTCTGCCCAGCTAATCAGTACTTTGGAGTACCCTCCAGACAAATATGTGCTTGGCTGAAAAGTGGAAAAGGAGAGATTAGGGTGAGATTCTAACCCAGCTGTGTTAGTGCTGTACACTATTCTGGGAATGAGGAGGAGTAGCTGGGAAATGAACCTGATGAACTTCATACTCTCTCCAGCCTCCTTGATGTGTTATCACAATTCAGAGCAGTCGTGGCCCTGAAAGCCTTTCCACTGTGTTGGCATAATTGCCCATGGGCTGCTTCCACTGTGAGGAGCTCTTTCTCCTTGACTGCAGTGGGAATTTTCTTGGGTTTTGTTTTCCACAGGGACTGTGCTGCATCTCTGTTACTGAAGCCCTTTGCTTTTGAGCTCAGTGCTGCAAGTTGAAGTTGTTGAAGACCTCTTAGATCAAATGTGGGGAATGTTTTTGGGTGCTACAATATGATGGTGTTGTTTATCTGTCCTTCAGCTGCTATTTGAGCTCCCAGCTATCCAGACTAGAAGAAGCAGAAAGACTGGGAGTGCTGCTGTTAATGATTCAGTATTTGCATTTATTTGATAGGCTTTGATCGTCATCTTCTGGGTCTCCTGCTGATAGCACAGGAGCAAGGACTGCCAGTGCCAGATCTGTATGGGGATAAGGCTTTCACAGCCAGGTAATTCATATTCTTGTCCCACGGCAAGTTGTATCCCTTGATACCAAGGCCTTTGCTACACTGGCCTTGTGTGTGCTGATGTCTTGATCTCTGCAACAAAATAACTGTTTTGTAAAATGCACTTTGTTTTAAATGACTTTCAACAGTGCTGCTTTTGTTTTGTGTTGTTTCACAGTGGAGGAGGTGGGAATTTTGTCCTTTCAACTAGTCTGACTGGCTACACTAGGTTTAGTGGATCTGCAGTCCCTATGGTACAACATGGCTATGGCTTTTTTTATTCAATTAGAGATGACAGGTAAGGATATAATTTCATTTTTAATATGGCTCTGCATTTGTCACAGAGGAAAAGACAGCTAACAGCTAGAATGAGGAAAGGAAAATACTGAAGAAATACAGCTGAATGTGTCAGAAGAGATTGAGAAGTGAGGTACATGAGAATAGAGGCATTGGCATTCTGGGAAAGCCCATGTGGGAGGAAAAACGAGTGGTGGAGGGCAGGTAGTACCAAGATACTGACAATAAGCAGAAATAAAGAGTAGGTAAGGTGAAAGAAGGGAGCAGCAAAAGGACTTTAAAATAGGTTAACTTTAAAATAGACTTATTTTAGGATCATTTTGTAACATGTGAAGGTGTTTTTTGGCTGAGCTAGATCAGATAAGAGGACAGGTGAGCATACTGCCCATCATTCTTGGCAGTGACACACATCTTGAGGGGCTAAAACGTTTGGCTTCACTTCTCCAAAATCATACTATTTGAAAAGATCAAACTCTGGCTTAATTGGTCTTATGGACAAAAATTACTCCTTTTTTTATGAAATATAAAACTAATTTGGTTAGAATGTGTAGAGAGACATTGCTAGTTTAGGTGTAATTCAAATTACTTCTTCCTAAAGCTAGGCAGGGGTTGTGTGCCCATTCAGATCAGTTTGAGAATACAAGCCATTAATACTTTGATCTATGGCTCTCTTTAAATAAATAGAACTAGATCAAGATATAACTTTTATTAGATAAATAGAAAAGAAGTACCTAAAACCTTAAACTAATTGCAGAAAAAGAAGAAATATAATTCACAGCATTTTCAAATATAAGCAGAAAAGTTGTGTCACTGTGTATGTAGTAACAGGTATTTAAATCAAAGTATCTGATTTCACAATCTGTCAACATTATTGCTTACTGAAGGCACTAAGGATCTGAGTCCTCTCTTGGTTTTGAGACAGTATGTTTATGTGACAATTTTTACTTCAGATTTATGTCAATAACTCCACATTTCAGGAGCATTTGTGTAACTTTATCCTAGACCTTGACAATTTAAGCACAGTGACCTCACTGTTTTCTATATTGCTAGGATCGTTACTACCTGCTCTTCTTGGAAATCCTGTCCAGAGACTGATGCAGAAGTGCTGTGCAGAACCCTGTTCCAGTGCTTCCATGATGTGCTGCAGCTGACACTTACAGCTCAGCTGTAAGCTTGATAATGATGCAAGAGGCTTTGCAAGCTCACAAGTTGTATGTAGTACTTAAAAACAAAATGCTATTCAAGAGTACTGTTAAATTCAAGACGTTTAATGGTCTGTATGACATGTTTATTTTTGTGAGATTACCTGTGGTAACAGTACCCATTTAAGAATAATGTAGCCATTTGCAACAGCAATGCAAGTAGTAGTACCTTATCTGTTTAGAACTATGCAATATTAAAATATGCCACAACAATGCAAACATAGTTAGGGATGGGATGTTGTAGTGGAAAATTGATGGGAGACTTGTATTTATGACCTTAATAGTCACGTGCAGAATAGTTTGTAGTCTACTGATAGGGTTTATGCCAGTTGAGCACTTAACTGTGTACTTAAAAGTAACCACACTATAATCTTTTGTGATTATGCTTCCTGTTCAGAGTGGTTAATGAAACAGAATGCCTCCATCAGGTTATGTGGTATTTTATAAGTTACCTTTCATCTTTTGCTATCAGGATTATACCAAATAAATGTATCCATGAATGGGGATGTTCCCACTACATTTATAGTATGAGAGCACTACAGTTTGAAGTATTTTGGAAAAGAATCACTCAATAAAGACAGAAAGCAGCATGAGTTTCAGGTTTTTCAGTTTTCATTCTCTAGTGAACTGTGAATATCTACTGCTTTACACTAATAATGCACAATAAAAGTAAGCACTGAATACAGTTTGATATGGTTCTCAGGATTTTAATACTTGATTTCTCTGAGCAACTTTGTATTTTCCTGTTATAGAAATAAAATTTTCCAAAAATCAACCTTGTCTTAATTAATTTATGGCTGGACTGTTTAACATAGTGTAGCAACATTGTGAGAGAAAGATGATCTTGGTGACAGATGAATTTGGAACAGAGATTCTAAATTACCCATTGCTTTTTCTCTAGCTTTTAAAGTTTCAGAGAGATCAAATACTATTATTTATTTTACAGAAATAACTCCATTTTCAGCTAACATGGAACCAGTCTCTTTGCCCTCTGGCAGCTCCGTTGCACATATTTTGTCCACAGTAGTAAGAAAACTTCCCCTTTTGATTTCCTCCCTCAATGCCTGACACTTCTCTGCAGTCCAGGGTGTGTTACACTGTGTACATTTTTTGCCTCAAAAAAATGCAAAAAATGGTCTCCTCATTTCAGCCTTTGTTTTCCTTGCCTTTACTGACCTACCTGTACATCTTGTCTCAACTATATCTGACAACCATTCAGTGTTTAATAGTTTGAGATTTTCTGAAACTCACATAGAGAAAGAATCCATTGCTGTTCTGCAATATTTAAAATAGCCCAGCCTCTTTCTCAGAGATATATGGCCTTCTGAAATCCCATGGGCAGGGAAGCCTGTGTCTTTATGATGCTGTGATTTCTGTGAGATAGATTAGGATTTTGGATCAAGCTATGTATGATTATTTTTATTCTATATTTTAATAAGTTCTCTCTGATAGTTATAACTTTTGACCTCTCAATTGGGTTAGTAAACTTGGTTGCAATTTTGATAAAGACAGTTTGCTTTGAGCATTCATTCAAAACAGCCTGAAATCTGAAGAAGGGTGTAATTTTGCATTTATTTGCATTTATTTTTCATACACCTACTCCTGCCTTTCTGAGAATTTCTGGGAACATAGAAATCCTGGCAGAAATACAGAAAAAGGACAACTTTTTCAGAAAGTGAATCATTGGGAAAATGGCATTCAATCACCAGCATAACCAGAATTTCCTGTTCAGCTGACACAGTCTGAGGCTTGCCTAGAGAAACTGAAGGCAGAAGAGTATTCAGGGAGAACAAATTTAAATTCTGTGAGTTGTTAAAGCTGCTTGTTATGTGCTGTGGATGCATGAATCCATGAATGTGGTAATAATTTCCTTGTTGTGTAAAGCATGGCCCTCAAAGTGTCCAGTGTCTCGGCCCTCAAAGCCTCCCTGTTTTTGTGCCCTTCTCCAGGAGCACAGATGCTCTGTGCTGCAGAGCTCATCTCCGTGCCTGGAGCTCTCCACCCAGTCCTTAGCTTTCAGTTTGGACAGTCAGTGAGGCTTTTTCAGGAATGCTTTGTACTCTTTAATTTGAGGAACTATGAATTTTGTGCTGGTGGAAGAGGGTTGGGTTCTTAAAGCAAATATACCTCCGTTATTCATTAGTTATGAGTTTTTAGGAAACTATGGAATTGTACCAAACCCATATGTATTGAAATATCCTTATCAGTCTTCAGCTAAAAGACTGGACCCGCTGTGTTGCTGCACTTCAGCAGCTGGTACTGCCCACTCTGGTGCATCTCATGTCCCACTTTGAGCATTTACCAGAGAAGAGTAGGTGCCTTTTTCAGTCCAGAGCTGCTGCTGATTCTCTTGCTCTACAACCTTGCGCTCTGAACCACAGCAATTTTGTCTGCTTTTCGGATGGTGGAGAGCAGGTGAGCTGTCATGATGCATGTGTGGCTTTCACTGTCTTTATCTGACAGTTCCTGACAGTCTGCACAATGGAAAAACCAAAAGGTGAATTAAAAATAGTACAGCAGCTCTTGCCACCTGTGGTGCCTCTACTCTGTTATCTGTCATGCAACAATGACAGAGGTGGTGCTTCCATGGCCTTGGAGGTGAAAAACTTTATCCTGATGACTAGTTCAGGTTCCTGTTTGTACGTCTGGCATGAGGGACAGGAGACAGTGCCCACTGTATTTTCACTTGCCTCAGAAATCAGGTCAAACAGACTTTTGCAGGGTCCCAGCCTGGCCCTTCTTTTCTGCTGCAAGCAGATCTTAGTTGATAAGTTTTAGAAATTGTCCTGAACAAATTGGCCTGGCTCATTTGACAAGTCATGCACTTTCTGGATCACCTTTAGCAACATGGAATAGTCCTCCAAGTTCAGTCCTACTCATTGCAACCCAAATCCCAAATAATTGCAACTTAATCCACCAAAGAGTTCCATATAATCAAATAACATGCTGGATAATTTTGTATTTCAGTTTTAAGCACTAAGAAAGGGCATACTTGATATACACAACACCCACTCAGGACCTCAGTTTATAGGTGTTTATGTTCATTTTTAAAAAGAATATTTCAAGAAATTTTTAAAGACGCATTCTGTACCTTTAAGAAGCATTCTGTATGATGCTTGCAACTTTGTCCAGATATAAGCTAATTTTTTTCTTGATTCAAAGTAACAACAATGCAAGTATTTTCCATGACTGCTGAAGCAGTCTGTGTCTGGAAGTAGATACTCATCATCAGAAAAACAATTTTATGGATATTTTTAGACATAATCCAATGGATAACTGCAGTAGAAGTGTGTCTACATCCTGTTGAGAGCATAGTCATGACATTTGTGGTTATGCTGCTATTAAATATATCCAATTAGACCGAATTACAGCACTGAAGTGGAGACAGCACACATTTTAGCAATGAGAGTTTATTTTCCATTGGTCTTGTGTAAGCTGCATGAGGATAATGCCATGGGGCTGTTGCTGCCCTGGGATGCACTGAACAAGCCCACATCACCTGCAAAGGCTTTTGGAACTGCAGGGTAAGCAAACATCGTACATTGTCAAAAGCAACCAGTGATTTGGAGCTTGCCTATAAAGAGATTCTCTTTTACAGGGTATGTTCTCAGCATTTTTTGCAAATCAGGAGTTTTTCCAAATCCTAAAGGAGAAATTCCAAACCCAGTGCCATTTAAAATACCTAAAGGAGAACCACTGTTTGTTCCTGAAAACATAGAGACACATTTTCCTGACTCATACAGCAGTTTGCATTTAATCCCTATTCATTTTATATCTTTGAAAATCTTCCTGGTTTGCACAGAAGAAAAAGAGTAGAAGTTCTCAAAAATTATTAATTTTTTAAGCTAGGTACCCAGTTGTAATTGAAAACTAAAGGAAGCTCATGCCTTAATTTTCTTAATGCTCCCAAATATTAAGAGAATTTACTTTCAGCTAGTTAATATCAACAGCAACTCTTAAAATAGCAGCAGTTGGTTTAGCCTTGGTCAGGAATCTAGCAAATCAAAACTCAACATGTAACGCATCTCAGAAATCAGTTTTGCAAAGTGTATTCATTGAGCACTAAATTCACTACAGCTCATAATTTAGTTTCAAAGTACTAATTTTGTGGGAGAAGAAAATTTAAAATTATCCACTGGATATGTGAATATATCCCTAGATATGTCTAGAAAACCAGTCAGTATGTGGGACTGAAGCTCAATTCTTTCTCACTTTCTGTCACATGTGTCAGACTTGTGCACTGTGGAGTTCCACTGCCTTCACAGAAGCTCCCCATAGTGTCTGTACCCCTCTGAATTGTTGCTCATGGATTGTACCAGGAGCTACTTGAATCATTAGAGAAGTGTATGACAAATTTTGCTGCTCATAAAGAAGGCATGAAATTAATTTACTCTTTTTAAACTGTATCATTTCTGCACTGCCTTTCAATGAGTGTAGTTTATTTTTACCCCTGGTGTGTGAAGGTGGCATTTGCCTACAGGCAGTATTCCAGGAAGAACCTCACTGTTGAAAATGTAGATTTCTACCTAGAGCTAAAAATAGATGCTTGAGACTTGTTTTTTTTCAAGTTTGCTTGATATAGTGACAGTAAAACATTTTGCTGAATTGCTATGGAAAGACATGTTTTAAATATTGCTAGAAACTGATGATTTGCAAATAATTGTTTTTGATTAATATAGTCTGCCAAAACCAGACATTCAGGTCATCGTTTAGCAGTCATACAACTCTTCTTACAAATACCCTCCAAGGCAGTTGGCCTGAGATGATAATCAGATGTAAACAATGTGACTGTGAAATAAATTTGACATATTTCAGTGCATTAGAATGCACTCAACAAGGTTACTAATTTGGCAAAACTTTGTGAATAATTAGAGGCAGTGTTATGAATTTTTTCTTGGCATGTAAAGGAGAATATGTTTTAAAAACATAAAGAATATGTATTTAAATGCATATTCTTTTAAAAATAAACCTTTCTAACGTCTTATTTTAATGTATGACAGAACACCTGTAAGCTTGTGAATCACCAGCCCTTACTGTGAATGTAAAAAACAGCTTGGAAGCAAACATGACTCAACCTCAAACTCAGTAAGAAGAAGGAAAAGCCAAGAAACTCTAAATATGGGAGCTAACCTCCAAAACCTTAACTCTACCCATGCAGTTAGTAAATCCTTTTTCCCATATCACTACTTCTACATAAGTAGAATAAATGCATAGACCATCTACAAATGAGAAACACAACAGACTAAGTACCATAGAATCACAGAATAATTAAGCTTGCGAAAGACCTCTGAGGTCATTGAGTTCAACTGTGAGATCAGCATTGCCATTTTCACCACTAAACCGTGCCTCAGTCTCACATCTGCATTTGTTTTGGATACTTTCAGGGTTGGTGACTCAACCACTACCCTTAGAAGCCTATTCTAATGACCAACAACCATCTCAGTGAAGAAATGTTTCCTAATATCCAGTCTAGTGACCTTTGGGATGGAGGGGTTACATCAGTGGATGAGGGAAGCGCTGCAGATGTCATTTATTTGAACTTCTGAAGCCTTTGAGACACCTAAATTGGAAAGACATGGATTTGATGAGAGGATAAGTGGACAAGAAATTGATTGGATGGACACATCCAAGAGGGCAGTGGTCAAGGGCTCAGAGTTCTTTTGGAAATCAGAGGCCAGTGGTGCCCCTCAGAGGTCTGTATTTGTACCAGTGTCATTTAATATCTTTGGAAATGACCTCAACAAGTTTGCAGTGGTGCACCAAGCTGAGTGGTGG